GGAAGAGAGGGGAGGAGAGAGACGGGGACAATGAAATGAGATGGAGGCAAGGAAACAAGAGGGAGACACTTCAAGCCCGACAAAAAACACAAGGCCCTCTATGTTCATCTCAATTAAACGAAGCCTCGATTCCCTTTGACCGGTACCTCTTGGCTGCTTCCCATGAGCAGAGGGAAAGAGGGAGAGAGAGAGAGGAAGACATGAAAGAAGGAGAGACAAGAAGAGAGGGAGGAAGTCCAAGCCCAGCAAAGTGTGCAAGGTACGTCATACTTATGGATGGGTCGCACCCCCAACTCCTTCCAGCTGTGCCTTTCAGATGCTTGCTTCCCTCCATATCCTCTGCTTCTCCTCCCTCCTGCCTAGACTTTCCCTCTGCATCTTCACGCCCATCCCTGGTGGATGACGCTCTTCACCTCCCTGCACAGCGATTCTCTGTTCCAATTAGCGCCAGGATGATCCAAAAGTAGGGACCCCACTAGTGCCATGCTGATGCCAAGCTAGCATGAGCCTACTCACGTGTCTATCATGTTTGCACTTCCTGAGCAAGAGGCATAGCACCCAGTCGCACCTGCCCTGGCCAAAGCCCTACCCCCTTTCATGAAAGCGACACCAAAGACATGACATGGAAAAGACGAATAAGGAGCTGAAGCATTCATCCGAAGAAGGAGAAGAAGAGGAGGACGAAGAAACAGGAGGAGGAGGATGGGGAGGAGAGGGGGCGGAGGAGGAGGGGAGGAGCAGAGAGGGAGGATTGGGAAGAGGAGGAGGATTGGTAGGAGGAGGATTGGGAGGAGGATGGGGAGGAGAGGAGGAGGAGGCGGAGGAGGAGGAGGAGGAGGAGGGGAGGAGCAGAGGGGGAGGGGGCGGAGGAGGACAGGAGTCAAACTCTTGACCTGTGGATCCGCACTATCAGGCAACATTCAGCCACCAGGCAGCCACAAGTGTCTCGTTTTTTCCCAAGGGGCACAGAATGTTGATTGGATCGAAGCATTTGGCAATGTCAGTGCCACACTGCCAAGCACATATTTGGTTCTAAGGCAACTTGACATGGGGTGCAGCGTCTTACCAAAACCGCACCAAAACTTTGTTTTGTACGTCATCAATCCAGCATCAGGGAGCGTCAATGGAGAGAGCGCAATGCTGGCAGTCAGGTCAGGATCTCTCTTCCTATTATCTGTTCTGTTCCAACTTATTTGTTGATTTATTTACTTTTTTTTTTTTTATAAACAGGGGCGGCCTTGAGATGTTATCATGGAACTGATCGGCCCTATGTAATTCAGAATTGAACTATTTCTGTCTCCTCCTTCAATCACGATCACCAGCAGGCACGTCCAAGGTAAAGCTTCTCTCTCACTGCCTCTCCACAGGCTACGACATCTGCCACATACCTCCCCTGCTCTCTCTCTCTCTCTCTCCAAACAATGCGCCTGAGCCCCTTCTCCTATCAGCTACGGCACTCACACTCTCCAGTTCTCTCTCTCTCTCTCTCTCTCTCTCTCTCTCTCTCTCTCTCTCTCTCTCTCTCTCTCTCTCTCTCTCTCTCTCTCTCTCTCTCT